AGGAGGAAACTGAGTCACAGGGTGCCCTCTAGGGCAGGTAAAGAGTTGAGATATTATTGCAAGACAGCAGGCCAGGAGCGCACACTGAAGAAGAGAGATGATGAGATGGATATTGTAAGGGAGTAAGATTAGAAGCAAGAAACGACTTTAGAGACTGTGGACTAGAAGAGAGACTGAGTTAAATTGCACAGAATTATAATGTATATTATACACCCATATATGTCTACCATGTATAGAGCACCATTTCAAGACATTTTTATTTATATCATGACTGGAAACAAGAGAAATCTCTCCCACCTCAGGCTAGTGTTACGCTACACCAAAGCCAGACAAAGACATCACAAGAAAACTATGGACTACCGTTCTTCATAAACATAGATGTAACACACAAGCTTATTCACCATGAGAAACTGATGTTCTCTCAGGAATAAAAGGTGGTTTTGACATTCAAAAATCAATCAATGTGATCTACTATATTAATAAAATAAATGTATCAAGTGCAAAAAAATGCACTTGACAAAATTCGACACCTTTAATGTAAACAGTTTTCAGAAAACCAGGAATTAGAAGGCAACTCTTTGACCTTAACAAGGAAGACCTTACAAAGTCCTCTAGCTAACTACACTTAGTAGTGAATGCTTGAATACTTTCTCTTTATATTATTTTATAGCTGCAAACATCATTGTAGTACTTTTCAATCTGGAATCCACCATTAGGAAAAAGGCAAGGATGTCAGTTCGCACCACTCATGTTTTAAGTTTACAGCTAATGCAGTAAGATAAAGAGGAAAATTTTAAGGCCATATAGATTAGAAAGGTAGAAATTTCTTTTTTGCAGAATAAAATAATCTGTTTTTACAAAAAAAAAAAGATCTTTACAAAGATCTGTAGGAATCTTTTAAAAAGCCACTAGAATTAATAAAGATGTTTAGCAAGGTCACACAACAGGGCAGCGGGGGGAGCATCTTATGTACAGAGGAACAGGATAAGATTCGCAGCAGGTTTCTCCTTGGAATCCACGCAAGAACTCAGTCCCCCCACCTCCCAGGCATTTTCACAACTGCTTCTTTCAGCTCCACACACTCCCGACTTCTGATTTTACAGGAGAATTTTAGAAGCACCTGCACTGCTTCTCTTAAAAATGACCTTCCATGTGCTCTCCAACAAGTGTAGACCTAAAACCTACAAGCTTTCTGGATTTGCCCTCCATACAAAATTCATCATCAACAGTGCTTTTTCCTCTCTCCACATTCCAACGTTTTGTCCCATTTCCGCTACTCTAAAATTAAAAGGGAAATTGTCACTACACTCTTCTTTCTCCCGTCATCAATTTCTCAGCTCTGTAAATCACCCTGCACAGTGATCTCAGGTAGTTTTCATAAAACAATACTTGATCATATAATTTCCCAGCTCTCTAAACATCAATTTTTTCCCATGTTACAAAAGGAAGCAAATCTCCTTAGACTTCTATAAAAAGTTTCCCCAACGTTTTCAACAGTCTATCATTCTGAGTTAAATATGCCTTTAAAAAAATTTTTTTAAGTTTTTAATGGAAGTATTGGGGATTGAATCCAGGACCTCGTGCATGCTAGGCGTGCACTCTGCCACTGAGTGATACCCACCTCCCAAATATGCCTTTTGATGCATTGACTTGTCTGTTTCTGCTCTTCCATCCACGTGTACAAAACTCTTTTTTTCCTTCTGATCAGGTCACACACATTTTTCAAAGCAGTTCAAATGTCAGTCTACCATCTAGTTTTTACCTAGGGTGATATCAATGCACAGAACTTCCAATAATTACTGTATATATTTTCTGTTTCAACTATTTAACACTAAACGACACTACCTGGTAATACATATGTACATCTTTTCCCCAGTACAATATATCTTAGAAAAAAGACATGATGCGTCCTTTCTTCTGCATTCCCTAAGAATCTAGGCCAGGTCAATATTTACTCACTCTCCAAATATTTACCAAATGCCACCTATGTAACCGGTCTTGTGCTAGGCTTTGGAAATACAGCAATAACCAAGAGAGACATAGTCAGTGTCTCAAACACATGCTCACTGACAATCTCTATCACTTCAACCCTCAAACAGCTCTCATTCTGACATCATCTATGGGAATAAAGAATAATTACAAAACCGACAAAGGCTTGATCTCCAAAATATATAAGCAGCTCATACGACTCAATAAGAAAAAAATAAACAACCCAATCCAAAAATGGGCAGAAGACCTAAACAAGCAATTCTCCAAGGAAGACATACAAATGATCAAAAAGCACATGAAAAAATGCTGAATATCACTAATTATCAGAGAAATGCA